CAATCAATCAATCATGGCACTTAGCAAGAGCTCTTGAACAAGAAGAAACAGAGGAAGAAATAGAAGTGGAAGAGGAAGAAGTAGTTGAAGAGGAAGAAGTAGTAGAAGAGGAAGAAGTAGTAGCAGTAGTGGAAGAGGAAGAAGGAGCAGTGGAGGAAAGAGAGGGTAGAGGGGTAACCCTCTTATAACCCTTGATATTCATATTTTCTTATTATATGCAATATATACAATAAGTGGGCATTGGTCCCCAGCATTTGTTTTCACTTCCCCAAATCGAATATATCTATTTTTGTAAAATAAAAAGTTATCTGCTAGTGCCTATAGGGTCTAGCCGTCCTATATAGTCTTAGACTGAAGATGGACGTAAATTAAATCAATCAATCAATCAATTATAATTCAAGGAATATCCGAGATCTCGTGATCCTTTCCGCCAATATCCGGGGTACCTCGGTGTTTTGGAAGCTCGGCTTTGCTGACCCACCCCCACACATCATAACGGATAAGCCCCATCCCAGCCATCTGTAACTTTTCCAACCAACCATATTACTCGATAGGTAATGTATTTAGGTAGGTAGATTTCTTTTGTTTCTCTTGCTTTCCTCCTTCGAACTTTCAATCGTATACTCTTTTGTTCAATAGATACATTTGTTTTCCTTTACGACTTCTTTGTTTCATCCAATTGACATCGCGTCGCGACAGATCATACAAATACAAAATAAAGCATGCCTACAGAATCAACATACCCCAAATTAGATATCCCACAGGTGGATATTTGGGAGTTTCTCTTCGAAAGGAAAGATAGAAAGTTTCCAGATGATAAAGGTACCAATGTCAATCCGCAATACTCCCATATCCAGGAGCCAATCCTTGCAGATCAAGCACTGACTGTTTTGTCTGCCAGCAATCTATACGGATGCTGAGACTTCACGGTCATATACCTATAAGCAACTGCGAGATACTGCGATAGCGTTTGGGACAGGACTGAAAGCCGTCTGGGAATGGAAGAAAGGCGATGTGCTTGCGCTATATACACCTAATTGTGTTGATACCCCCGCGATCCTATGGGGTACGCATTGGGCGGGTGGAATAGTCTCTCCTGCGAACCCCGGATATACTGTCGATGAATTGAGCTTTCAATTAAAAGATTCCGGAGCCAAAGGGATTGTTACGCAGAAGCCTTTTCTAAAGGAAGCACAAGCTGCGGCTAAAAACGCTGGCATACCTGAAGATAGGATAATTTTGGTGGGCGATGGGCGGGATGAGACACACAAGTTTAAGCACTTTACAAATGTGCGGAATCTGGCGGGCACATCAAGATATAGGAGGACAAAGAGTAAGTCAGAGGATTTAGCATTTTTGGTTTATAGCAGTGGGACGACCGGACACCCGAAAGGAGTCATGCTCTCGCATGGGAATATCGTGGCAAATACTGCCATGGCAAATTCAGCTGAAGGAGTCCACTTACATTGGAATGGTGGTAAGGATGGCAAAGGTGACAAGGTTATGGCCGTTCTCCCCTTCTTCCACATCTATGTAAGTCATTTTATTGCCGCGGATTTGTGGATTTAACTGACTCTCTTTAGGGCTTGACATGCATTATTCACTTTTCGCTTTACAAAGGTCTCGAGTGTATCATAATGGAAAAATTCGAGTTGGAGAAGTTCTGTCAAACGATTCAAGAAGTTGGGGCAACATTTGCTTATGTGGTACCTCCTATTGTCCTCATGCTTGGAAAGAGTCCCATTGTTTCGAAATACGATCTATCGACTATTAGGATGATGAATTCCGGTGCGGCACCACTGACCCGCGAACTTGTTGATGCTGTATATGCCCGTCTCAAGATACCTATCAAGCAAGGTTATGGCCTCAGCGAAACAAGTCCTACCACTCATACCCAACCTTGGGAGGACTGGAATAAATTTCCAGGTTCAGTCGGACGATTACTCCCAAATCAGGTTGCGAAATATATGAACGCTGAAGGAAAAGAAGTTCCAGCAGGGCAAACTGGTGAACTTTGGATCAAGGGACCCAACGTTTTCCAGGGCTATCTTAATAATGCCGAAGGCACAAAGAATGCGCTGACAGATGATGGATATTTCAAAACTGGTGATGTTGGACACCAGGACGAAGACGGCAACTTCTACATAACGGATCGAGTTAAGGAACTGATCAAATACAAAGGTTTTCAAGTACCACCCGCAGAGCTGGAAGGTCTCCTTATTTCTCACGAAGATATAGATGATGTTGCAGTAATTGGCATCTATAATGAAGAACAAGCAACAGAAGTCCCACGAGCCTATGTGGTTCCAAAGAAAGGAGTTTCGGGCGATATGGACGAGGAAAAGAAGATCATGGCGTGGTTGCAAGCGAAGGTAGCGAGTCATAAAAGATTGAGAGGAGGAGTTAAGTTCGTGGATGTGATTCCAAAGAGTCCAAGTGGAAAGATTTTGAGGAGACTTTTGAAAGATCAGGCGAACAAGGAGGGGGCGAAAGCGAAGTTGTAGAATGGGACTGGGAGGTGATATATGTAGAGTGGTCGTTATGAATATTTTCTTGGTATATTGTGTGGATGGAACATTTCAGGATATTTGCTTCTTTTACCATGATTAATCGTGATGTTCACGTTTGTTCTGGGTACCCCTCAGATATGAATGCCTAGCCCTCGGACTATTGGCATGGAAAAAGAATACAGAGCCGCCAGTGAAAAGTCATCCTCTTGGCAGTGACACTAGGTTTGATATACCTTATCTTACATTTAGACCCTTGATAAATTAACGTTTTTTATATATTTAGCGCTGTATTACGGTAAAAATCCCGTAAAACAACGCTAAATATAAAAATCGTTAATCTCCCGAAGGGTCTGAGCCAGTATGGTCGCATTTTGGGTGAGGAACTGAAATCGTTTGGTGAGAGAGCTTTCAAAGCATAGTTGTCCCTTTCAACTACAATTTATCAAAAAACTAATTATACTATTCGAAAGCTCTCATTTTCTAGTATTTATTGAATCTATCTGAAGTTTTTGAATTATGTGGTTGATTTGAAATCTTATTATCCATTTTAAGTTTCAAACATTGTCTGTTTGTTTCAATCTTATTCAACAACTTTAATATTCATATACTAATAATGAAAATAGGTTTAATCGAATTGTCTACTCGAATTCATTCTACTACGAGTCTGCCAATTATATCAGTAGTGTCAATAGGTTGCAATGATTAAGGTGGTTGTGGTTGAAATGATGATATTTTGAATGGAAATAGTGATAGAATAAACATTTCAGAAGTCTGAAAAAGCTATTCTAAGGTTGAGGAGGAGTATACAGATCTATACAGGAGATATCAGGATATACCAGGAGTTCTAAGGTTGATTTATGATAGTGATGGAAAGAGTCATTTTGGTGATCGGGGAGGAATGCCTTAAATATAAGGCTAAAATCGAAACCATATTATCAGACTACCCCCCTTCTCTCTTCGAAATCGACAACCACAACCTTTCCTGAAGATTCGATCTATATCCTAAAAATGAGATTAGCTAGGAGATCTTCAGTATATAAGAATATTTCTTGAAAAGATTGTTGTTGATTTCGAAGAGGTTGGGTGGTCAATATTATTTAAAATCTGAGTTTAAGAGCACCCAATCTTTTCGAAATCACCAACCACAACCACTTTTGAAGGATCTTTTTATACGAGAAGGATGAGATGAATGAGAGCAATTCTGAGGTTCAAATTCTTATATATAATAATAATTTATGATAGAAAAATGAGGGGGGTGGGTGGTCATTATTGTGAAATGTTGATTTTTGAAAATGGAATTTTATTTTTTCAAAAATGTATATGTCCCTAATTGAATAAAGCTATAATAATATGATATATATGAAAATGATCAGAAAAATCGCCTCTATGTATTGAATCGATCTTGAAAACCTTCGATTGTTAATGGATTTTTAATAATCAATTGAATAATTCAAAAAAGGGCCATTTGTTGATTTTCACACTATAGCCGCGACCAAAATGTTTCAGACCCTTCGGTGATGAACCCGGCCTACCCCACATGCCTCTGATTGGATAGTTTATAGATTTTACGCTTATATAATCACGAAGAGAAGGGTCTGAGGATGAGATAAGATATACCGTTCTTTTGGGAAGCAGACAGCCGATCCAAGGAGAGCCGACTATTAGTAATATCGGTTACAATTTTGATAAGTCTTCGCCCGTGACTTTCATATCCCGAGATACCGACCCGGGCGGCAGAGCAGATTATGTCCCGTGCGGCCGCTAGTGTATTCCCAGAATTAACGACATCAACACAAATTGATATTTTGTATTTTGTGAGACTTGCTTGTAAAATCGTCATCAATTCTAAATATTTACCGGATAACAAAAATGGCATTTATTCGTTCTCCTGCCATACGGCGCATAGTTACTGGTGCCTCCCCCCATCTGCAAGCTACACAAAAGAGATGGGCGCAAGTTCATAATGTTCGGTTCTTGAACACCCAGCAATCAGATAGAGTCCTAGACAAGTACAAGGAGAAGCTTGATCAGAAAGCAAAAGAGTAAGACATCACCAATCATCGATTGGTTCTTTTGGCCTAACACATCGTCTTATAGGCAGGGTCTGCGAGATGTCAATGAGTTGAAAGAAGCGTACAAAGCGAAAATTGAGGACCTGAAAAAGAAATCTGCCGTTGCTATACCTGTCAATGCCCCTCCTACTCCACCATCATCCCCGACTACCTCATCACCATTTCCTGCAGCTCCACCACCACCTCAAACACCCGCTGAGAAAGTGCCCTCCTCCAACCCCGGGCTAAAGACTTTGTCCTCGTATCTTAATCTTGAGAAAATTCGTGCTTTACCACAAAAAGAAATTGAAGCACTCTGGCGACTTCGACATGTCAAAGATGCCCAGTCATTGTGCGCAGCCATACCTCTGAATGTATACAAAGCCCTTGAAACCACAGCAAAGAAATTCCCTCACTTCATCTTACCACTCGCCAAAGAGGGTCAAGGTGCAGAAATCCATTTCTTGCAATGGACTTTCCCGGCCGAAAATACCGTCACTGTTCTCTTCACACATCTGGCAGAATACAAACTGAGAGGAGAGTATAGTCAACCACATACTACAATCACCCATCACTTGGAACTGGAAAAGGAGAAGGAGTTGGTCTTATTGCATGGACAAGTTGTGGAAGGAAGAGGCGTGAGTGTCGACGAAGCAAAGTGGCTGGTCATGTGTTTGCAGAAATTCTACGGCCCGGTTGGGGAGAAGAGTGATAGGCGTCGATTGTTGGAGATGTTTGGAAGAGGGGATCCAGCTTTCAAGCTTGAGGATTTGGTCGAGGAGGCCGAAAAGATCATATAGACGATGTTCAAATATTACGACGTTTGCGACTCGACCCTACGATCTAAGGCGCAGTCTGGGTTTGGAGTTTGGCTCAAATTTGTAAGTATGTAATAAATCTTCCCTCTGATAACGATCATGACAGTGCACGGAATCTCGAATGTACTGCGCATCATGGTTCGCCTAGAAGATATGCTACGCATCAAAGAGAAAGAATAATTGTGGCAAACCTCAACCCTGCTGTCCAACCTTATCTTCAAATGGACGACAACGGCGCTCAATGGAAGTCACCAGGCCAACAAGACAACGCAATTACACCAAGACCACAAATTCATTGTCCATGTCGAGCTAAATCCATTCCCTTCTACTCGATTATAGTTCCGACCCTTAGATTCGAATAGAAAAGAATTATCGGAATTTTCGAACGACAACACAGTCATTTTCGCCTCAAAACGTTGTAAAACACCAGGAGTAACATCGAAGCCGATTTGATTCACACAAATCGCAAGTTTTGATTTGTATTTCTAGGGGTTTATTGTCATTTACTTGAATTTGGCCTATATACTTAATCCATATCTCTCAACAATCATGTCATATTCTGCAAATGAACCCCGCAACAATACGATACTTCATATACACCCTTTCACATTACGAAACTTCCTCCAGGCCCATTCACTTTTTATCAGGCCTTCACCCCTTCATTTCCAATCGGCCATTCTGTAAGGATTGCTATCATACTCTGGTTCTCTGATAGTACCGGCGCCAGTTTCTGTGGCATTAGTTATCCTGAATTCAGTAGGATCCTCCACGACCAAAATCTCCACTTCTTCTTCAAAAGGCTCATCGACTGGTAGCTCTACCACAACAACCTCGGGCCTATCCTGTCCTTCAAGAGCTGGTGAGTACTTTTCAAGATAATGATCGGTGTAGTATTTTCTCGTATCATATACACCATGCCAGTTCTCTTCTAACCAAACAACTGTCCAATCCGCAAAGTTCGGCTTTGTTTCCAAATTATCATCTGTATGGAATGAAATTGCCCCGCATTCCTTCAGAACTTTCTTGATCCTCGTAAGGTTCCGTTCGAGTCGTCTGTGAAACTTTAACAACGTCTCTTTGTCAAAACTCGGGTTCTGGCAACCAAGAGAGTATAAAAGATCTTGGAAAGCAGCTACGTGTTTGCCGCGTGCTCCGACTACCTTGTTTGATCGCATCCAAAGAGCAGTGGCTTTTGTTTCTGCGGCCCCAAAAATGCTGAAACGGTCTCGTGCTGGTGGTACTGGCAATCGAGAATTGATGGCAACAGATTTGTTGGTGACTGGTGCTGATTTGATCAACTGCTTTTCTGTATTGTTTGATCGCATCCTATTATCAGTGACCTCTTCTTCTGCGGCCCCAAATCTATTGAAACGGTTTCGTGCCGCACATTTTGGTAATCGAGCATTGATGGCCACGAATTGGTTGGTCCGAGGTGCTGGAATAATTTTGGTCTTGGTCTTGATTTTGGCCAGTGTGTCGTCCGCGGATTTGATTTTGCCCAAAGTGTCATTCGCGGAGCTAGAGATGGTGACATTGTGAGACGTGAGGCTGATACACGAACGTTTATCTTGATGTGCCTCTGCGGAAGGACTGACGGATCGTTTTTGCGACATCTTTAACGGCATCTTTAATAATTAAGTCGATCACTTTAAAAACAGATAAATATTTTCCTTCTTTTGATGATGATCGGGAAATGTAATTTCTGGTCGGGAAGGAGACTTTTATTGAAATTTTTGGATAGTTGTTCGAGTTGTTAATATTATTGACGCGAATAAATTTTAAGAGCGTGTCGGGGTTCAAGTATCAAAATAGAGATCTCTATTGTTAACGAAACTAGCGTGCCAACAATCACATTCACAGTTTACGGTACGCGGAACTGAATGCGCTAGCTGGAACTCTATGCATGGGAGAATTTAACTGAAGCCTGAGGTGGGTGAATCTTCGAGGTGAAGCTAGATCAATCATCTCAACTACCGGTCGGTACCCGAGTGGGACGAATAGGGATGAAGAGAATAGTACAGTAATGTCTCAATCGGGTCTCGATAATGAAAGTCGTTATTGTTTCTGAAATTTTATTTCATTGTGAGAGATGAGAGATGAGATCCTGGTATAAATTCGGTGTCTGGTGAGGTCATTACTGTAAGAGTATTTTTCTCAACCTCTGGAAGAGCCGTGCTGGCTCTATGTATGTTTCTTTTTGGAGCCTGTGAATACAAGAGGTCTTGTCTCGTCTTATATTGTCAAACTATGTTCATCTCCTCAGCGGAGTCCTCATTCTAAGTAGTAATGGGTTTTATACAGTACTATTGTCATTTGATATTCTGTGGCAAGGTTACTATGTATCTCTCCTCCCCTTAAACTTTCCCGTCGTCTTTTCTCTTTTCATACAGGTTTAGTTCTTATCTGTTTCTTTTCTTTTTCTTGCTGCTATGCTATGATGCTATAGGCAACATTTATTCATATTCATCGTTTTAGATGCATGTTATGTCATGTTATGTTATGGGGATTGGATTGGATTGGATGATGTACGGCTGCACAATCGTATGATGATATGATATGGGCGAGATTGGGTTAGTGCCTCTTCATGAGATCATGTCTGAGCTAGCCATCGGGGAAACGGCACTTTTTAACGACCGGGGCAGTTGTAAGGGTCTATCAAACTCAGGCAATATGTGTGCCGTTGAGCTGTCTGTCTATATTATATTAGTTCTCGGAACTAAATGGTACATGGATGCATTCTTCGGTTTGACGTGTGGGGGTTGCAGGAGTAGATTGTGATTACTGTTCACTGTGGTAGGAATACTAGCTGAGGAATACCCATGGTGATATTCCCCAAGTATGAGTTATAATTTATGATACATATCTTGCTTTCGCACTTCGGTTTACTTCTCACTACGGCAGGTCACAGGTCACAGGTCGACCCGCTTTTAGCTCTGTTTATTTACCTTACCTTGAGTAAGTCGCACACTGAAGGGGTTGGGTCATGTTAGTAAGTCAACTAACTAAGTTCATCTCCCGTTTAAGCCACACGATCGTATGATCCAGAGGTTTAACTTGCAAAGATTTGTGGGGTAGTTGTCATCATGTCATGATCCGAAAGGTTTCCAGATATCTTTGGGGGATAATTTAATAAGGTGTTTTGGACCGTCTGAATTCTTGTTTTCTTTCTTTCTAGACCTTTGTTAATTTGTTCCTCGCTGTACGCTGTTTTTCTATAAGGACTCGCAAATCATCCCTGGGTCGCGAATACAGTGGAGTTTATGCAACATTTTCCTACTGCTTGAAAGTGGAGAATATTAGATCGATGATATGATGTTGCCCAAATGGACTATGTAAGCGTAGTCTCCCCTCCCCTCCATTATTTCGGATTGCCTGAGGCTTCAACCCTGCCTGAGTGAGAACTTAGAAGTTTGATAGTGACACAGTAGGAATGAATGGGTACACCGATCATAAATCGTACCGTAGGCAAAGATGAGATGAAAGTGGTGGGTCAGGGTCAGGGTCAGTCATGGGTCTATGTAATTCTAGAATTGGGATGATTATGCATTATTGGATAAGATAGCTTAGCGCTGTGCTTCTGACGTTCCGATTCCTCCCATTTCCCAATAGCTGGCTCCACAATGAGTATCCTGGACTTTGGGAAAAGTTCGTGAGGAGTATGGTAATAAGTCTTGTGGATTTGCGTTTGTAGGTTTCTTTTTGGTGTTTGGTGTTGGTGTTGAATAGCTTGATGAATTATGAATTATGAATTGGACGTTGAGTGATTTTAAAATTTCATATTGTTTTGTTATGATTAGGATGTTTTGACTCTTGGGGAGAGGGTCGATTCTTATTCTTATTCTTATGTGGATGGGGATGGGGTAGATATCAACGGAATCATGGGGCACTACTAGGTAGATAGATGTCTGTTGGGTTCTAAAATATATCTTTCTCTGGTACTTGCACTAGCACTGGCCCTGCTCTGTATAATACTTCGTATCAATATACAGGCCAATACTTGCTCACTTCACCTCACCTCTATCCACAAGCTGTTGATCTGATGACGGCGCTGTACTGTACTCCCAGGGTATCGATCGCTTCAAGCATCTTGCTTGTACCTCACTCCATTGTTTAGCTAGATCGATATTTATTGATAGTACTTAAGGCCCTGTTCTCGATTTTTGGAAATTTGGGATTGCAGGGGGTAGGGGCCGGGTGTAGATAGCCGGTCTTCCGACCAACAACTTCCACTTAAGGGGAGTTTGCAGCGCTGGATATCGTATCTCGGGTGAAAATGTGGAATATGATACCAGAGTACCATGATGATGTGATGATATGATGATGGGGAAAAGTATCATTTAAGTTTTAGTCTTTACTGTCGATTATCGTGTGGTGTGCTTCGGAGCGTGACTTGAACACTTTGAAAGTCTAAAATTAAAGGTTCTTCTATGATTAGTTTTCTGGATCGAGCGATGAGGTGTTATTCAATGGAGTCGAGAATTTTGCTCTGCAGACTTGTTGAGAGAGCTTGTCAGTTTCAGGTACAGATACCATGTTATTGTGTTGAGTTTCTTGGTGTCTTTGACAACTCTGGGATTAGCAATTCAGCACCGTTGGTAACTGCTAGTTGCATTATTGTTATCACTGAGCAGCAGATTATTGAATGTTTATGGGGATGATTAGGCCATTCAATTGTGATGTGGTGAAGTTTCAATGTGTTATGATTTTTGGAGGAACCTTGGAAGTAGCGCCGCGGTGATGGAAGGCCGTGGTGCTGCATCGAATTTATGGGGAGTGGTCTGAAATCATTTCGTTGAATATGGCGGAGACAAGGTCTCTTTCTTACAAGGTATGTAGTGTCTTAGGGGTAGAAAGCTCAGATTTGGTGGGGATTGTGAGAGCGGAAGAAAAGGGAGAGAAGTATATTTCTGGTACACATTTTTAGACGGAAAGAAATGGTATGGCGACCACAGCACTAGCCTTCTGGACTAATGGTCCGAATCAAGTAGTGAGGTAGAGCAGATGAAATGAATGTCGTTACTGAGTATTGTTCTTGTATCAAGGTGATCGGATCTCATGTTTGTTTTGCAATGTTTATTTTGATGGGTCTGAAGTGGCTAATTCGTTATCATAACTTGCGTGCTGAAAGGTTTTTTGATAAGTCTGAAACAATTTGACTAAATCATTATCACAACTTATGTGCCGAAAGGAAACTATCTTCCATTTGAAAATGTGTGGGAAATGCCGAACGTCTATTCGTGTTTCCCCCCAACTCTAGATCGGTCAAATCTGTGAAATCGATTGACATGTTTTCTGTCGTGCCAGTATCTCCTACGAGGGGAATGTGTTTATGATGCCAGCCCGTTTCCTTGCTTACTTTCTCCGTTTATCAATTCTCAACTTGTTGTAACAGGTTCCATCAGTATCATGAACATGAAACCCACATATACCGAAAGCTTCTTTAATTCTTTGGATGCGCTGAGCCTTGGACTCAAAAGCCGTAGACTCAAAAGCCGCAGTTCCATGGGTGGCGAGAATTGTAAATGTGTCCTTAAAAACATGAGGACAGGTCTCCCAGAGGGCGAGATAGTCTTGCAACCATTTCTCATTGCCTTCCTTGCTGTGTAGTGTGAAAGCAATCGCTGCGGTAATACAAAGTCGAAGTTTGCTATTGTGGTGCGTGTTTGCGTATATTATTTCAATGATCGATTTCCGCCCAACTTCGAACCTTATGATAAAATTACGATGCTCAAGAAATGTGTCCATAATTCGATCCATCAATGATGGCAAGCAAATTTTCTCGGCCAGAAAATAAAGTTCGAAAAGCTGTTGTTCCATGAGCGGATTTGGAAGCTGGCCGCGATACAAATATTCGATGAGATTTGCAACGACGGCTGGATCGTCTTGAGGAAGATACATCTCTCCTTCGGTAGTCTCTTTGAATCCCTTATTGAATCCGGCATCAAAGAATTTCGATTGCTTGCACAGAATCTTTTTGTGAACAAGAAACTTTTTTCTCTTCGCTCCCACGTACAAAGTAACGATCTCGCCGAGAGCCCTGAAAACCCATAACAATTAATAAACGGCCAACTAAGAAGTGCGCCATCATCTGAGCAAAATGGAAGGGAAAGCGATGACTTACTCAGGTGTCATGAGAGCTGAGCTTGATGGAGAATTCATTGTCGCGATCAAGGATGAAGAACCTAAGTCGTATAAGTGACAAGCTTTGACTTCCTAGTTGTAATCTGCATACCTTTAGAAGTCATGATCGACTCGTACTTAGTAGTGGTTCCGCAATACTGTTTGTTCAACGTTCCAACCGCGATGAGGCGATGATGGTACTGGGTTGTTTTGGTTGTTTTGGTTATATCATCTTAGTTATAAGAAATGATAATAGATCGAGAGGTAACCTCTCTCGAGAGTGAATCATATCGCTGTCATAGTGAATCAAAAGAAATTCTCAACTGGTGAATTTCGTTTGCTTGCTTTTTACTCGTACCCTTCCTTCGAAATCTTGTGGTCTGACCGCCTTGGCAGAATTAGATATGTAATTATGTAAGCAAATTCATTACACATTTCCGGTGCACAGCTCTTAGGTATCTCTTATCTATAAATTTATGCAATACTTGTACTGAACATGGATAGTAAAGCTAGAAAAGTCTATCTCGCGCTAAATTCTATACTAGTACCAATGACTTCATGAGATGAAGAGGTCATAATGAATACTGATTCAGCAATCTCGCTAGATATTACCAGCATTGTCCTGAGCAGTATAGTTAGTAGTTTGAATCACTGGAATAGTGAAACTAATAGTTTGAAAGACTTTGGTTTAACTAGTAATTATCATATTATATAATAAATCGATTAGTAATTAAGTTACAAAAATTATATTATTTGTGACGGAACAGACGGCTCTCTTCCGCCCACTGGCTCATACTACATACATAGTATGATATGACGGCTCTTTTTGACCTTCCTTTCACAGCTTAGAGCCCTAGCTCTATAGCTCTAGACCTAGGCATCGTACGCCTAGGACTCTTTCACCCTTTTTGGCCTAGCCCTTATGGCTCCCAATACCTGTATATATAGTCCTCCTTTTAGCATCCTACATAGCTCTTCACTTGTAGATTCTAAGTACACAATCGGAGTCCTGTTTATACCCTTTTGGTCACATTATTAATTAGATTATTAACTTTCAATTAAATTATCGGTTTATTAATTAAACGAATAATTTAAAAATTGTACTTTAAATACTGTATTAACTGGTTAGAAAGATATTATCTTATAATAGAAAAGTTTATATTTTGGTAAGAAAAAACCATACGCTAACAAAGAGTTAATACTGTAAAGGAGTGAAGGTAGGTGTGAAATCATAGGAAAGCCTTCGGCGTAACCACATATCGTATGACAATCATCTATTTCGTAGCGTCACTGAAAGATAGTCATGGTCAAAGGGGGATAAAGTAACTATTCGTCTAAACACTGAAGGTAGGTATAACTTTGAAGGGGTAAAACATGACAATTGATCTAAACTACTGGAAGAGGGGGTATAAGTACCCTCTCTAGGCTATCACGTGACTCTAATATTATTGATTGGTTTCCTCACAATACCTTATAATCCGGACCGTGACTAATCATAATTAATATTCCATTTTCAATTATTTTAATCTTATTTATATATTTATATTAGATTTTATTATTAGAATAGAATACAAAATATAATCTACAATAGAATAAGAATATTCAACTGATAATTGAGAAATCTAAATAGATAATCTCTAGATGATTTATAGATATCTACAAATGATTTAAAATAGAATACTAATCTATTAATAAATAGATTATTTATATATATAGTAATTAATCAAATTTTATATCTAGTAATACAAAAAGTTAGTATATATAGTATAATTTTAAACTTAAATCTTATAATAATTTAAGAATAGCTTCAAGAAGATTAAATTGTGACGGAACAGACAGCTC